ATGTAGACTGGTGCAACCACTGTGGAAATCAGTACGGAGATACCTCAGAGAACTAGGATCAGAAGTCCTATTTTATCTAGCTATCCCCTTCTGGATATTTTCCCTAAAGAATTAAAAGAATCATACCACAGTGACATACGTGCACCCATGTTCCTAGCAGCACAGTTTGCAATAACTACAGCTTAGAAACAGCCCAATTTCCCATCACTGGAGATTGAATAAAGAAAAATGTGGGGTTTTGTTTGTTTGTTTGTTTGTTTTTATAAAATGGAGTACTACTCAGACACAAAGATGAGAAACTAGAGACATTTTTTAGCTAAATGGATGCACATTGAGGCAATACTCAAGTGAAATAAACAGGACACACGTAAATAAATATATAGTTTCTCTGGTATGAGAAAGTGAAAGTGTAAATAAGGACTAAAAGATATAATAATGTGAAATAGGAAGGAAAGCAAAGGGGAAGTGGAAGTGGGAGAGGTTAGAGGAAAGGAAAGGGAACGGAATTAATATGAGAAAATGAAAAAATGGAGACAAGTCTTTGTAAATAGGGAGGGTCAGAGGGGTTGAAGAGAGGGCAGGGGAATGGGAGAAAAATAAAAACCAAGACAGATTATGTAAAGGTACAAATTTCCGATGATGAATGTTATACTGTATACCTAAAATGTACAACTAAAATTAATTTAAAAATTGTAATGGATAAAATTGCCAGTATTCACAGAAAGCATAACTGTTTAAGACAGAAAAATTCTCAGACATCTGTAGAAAGACTAATATAACTAGTAAGTAAATTTAGTAAGAATTAAAAAGTTAGTTACATCTGAATACTAAAAAATTCTCAATAATATAGAATTTAGACAATACTTCACAATAATTTTCTCAAATATGATAACAATTCTATTAATTCACAGGTCTTAAAGTCTGATTTTAAGCCATTTGATTTTTACAAAATTTCCATTAATTCTTTCAACACATTTGGTTTGATGGCATGTTAGAAGGATGACTTTAGTGATAAAAATGGAGCAGAGAAGATGAATATGTAATATATGTAGTAAAGGGAGAGAAAGGTAAAGTAATTAGAACTTGCATTCAACAATAGCTTCACTGAGAAGGTCTTTCAGAAAAACCCTGAAGTACATGAAGGAGCTAGGTAGGTAAATATTAGAGGAAGAGCTTTCCAGCCAACAGTAAAAGCAAATGTAAAGTTCTCAATGGAAATTTGTAGTCTCAGGCAACAGAAGTGCAGTGTGTCTAGAGTAGAGGATATGAAGTTAAAAAAAAAGTAGATGAGATCAGAGTATTCTGATTTTATAGGGCCTTGTGCCCTTTTTACTGTGTGTTTTGTGAGGACCATGCCTACTTCTCTTGTTTTTATTTCTCCCTAGCTACCAACAATAAATAACAGTAATCATTTCCTAGAGGCAAGAAAAAGTGCCTTATTTTCTACAGAACTATTACATCCTTACCTGCTTAATAGTAATCCAGCTTTAACATTAACACCTATCAAAGAGAATACTACCACTAGAAGCTAGTAAGTGGCTGGCCTTAAGGAACTTCACAAAGTGATATTTGTCTTCATTAAGCCACTTCTGGGCCCAAAACTGCTTTTTAGCCTTGTGAATTTAGAAACTTAATCTTATTGTCTCAGACTCAAGTACCAAGGAGAAATGTAGTAGAGTTTACAAATAAGTGATATATAGAATACATGCCAGTTTGTTAATTTACAGTAATAACCAAAACTTTCAAGGATACCAGGTAATATGCCAGTCATCAATCTTGCTTCTCCCCATGGGAAAACTTCTACTCTGAAATACACATCATCTTAAGGTGAATTAGTTAAAATAGAAATCAGATCAGTTCTGAGTTTGAGTGTTGTCCATTTCTGGCTCTGGGAGCTTAAGAAGCTAACCTTCATAACAAAATTATATTTGTCAGATAGTACCTGGATGGGAGCTCCCCATATTTCCTTCATGAACCTGTTTTTACACTTCATTCTTCACAAAGCAATCCTGATGGTTTATTATTTCTTTAGATATATTAATATTTCCTGTGATAACTACTATGGCTGGAAATCTAGAGTTCTTCTAAGGGGACTATGCACATCTCTATTCTGATCCATTGTATATTTCATAGCTTAACTATTAAGGATAATTTTAGTATTGGGCCCAATTGCATCTAACAAAGTTTACTAATTAACAAAAAATTTAATCTAGTTATTTTATTCTATTAATATATCTGATGAACATGAATAGAAGCAGCGTTTTGTTTTGTTTTGTTTTGTTTTGTTTTTTTGGCACCAGGGATTGAACTCAGGACTTCACACTTACCAGGCAGGTGCTGTGCCATTGAGCTAAATCCCTGGCCCTCAGTGACTATATTTTTATGAATATATTTAATTAGATTATCAGTGGATATATGTATGTAGAATATATACAATATAGAAAGAATTATACCCTCAAGCATATTCAATGTATAAAAACATTTTAGATATGATTTCATTCTTTAATATATTTCAGTTTATGTTAATTTATTTCTAATATTTTAGTCATTTTCTATTTTGTCAACATATCAGCAGGCCTAATCCATCAATTAGAATGAATTCTCTAAATTTTCAGATATAAAAACTAAGAATTTAAAAAGATATATAAAGCTTATAGCAATTTATGTGAAATATGAGCTGACAAACTCTTCTTTTTTTATTTTCAAATGCTTAGATAGCTCCCGTTCCATTTTCTCTGTGGAAGTGTTTCAGTGTTATTAGTTTATTTTTATTATATTTTATGCATTTGAAAAATACTCTGTGAGTTCAAGACCAACCTGGGCTACATAGTGAGTTCCAGGGCAATCTCAACTACATAGTGAGATCCTGTCTCAAAAAAAAAAAAAAAAAAAAAAATCTGTGGAAGAGTTAATAGTCTTCATCATATTGCCTGAAGGATCCATGGAATAATCAAGGCAAAAATCCCTGAGATAAGGGAGGAGCTAGGAAAGAGAAAGAGAAGCAGAAGAGAGTTTTATCATATAGCCTAATCTGGGAAATAGAAGAAGGAAAGCTAGGAATAGAAGAACAGGAGAGAATTTTGGGGTAGAGTCAAGGCCTCAGAAACCAAGATTTAGCTCTCTACTGCCCTCTTAGGCTTTTAAACATGTTTTTGGAAAATTAGTTATTTTCACACATTTACTGAATTGCTATTTTGAGAAATTGACCTTTCTTTTAATCAACCTAGAATCAACTTCCTGACTTGATTAGGGCACTCCTTAAAAATTCACATGTACATATGTGAATGAATAGGTAACTTTTTCAAACCTAGTATTTTATTATTGTTTGGTTCCTTTAGAAATGGGTGTTTTACTGTAATGAGATACAACTATGAGAATGGCTATGACCAAAAAAAAGTTTTGAAAATGTGAAGAAATTGTAACCTTCATAAATTATCAGTGGGAATGTAAAATGGTACAGTGATTTTGGAAGATAGTTTTGGCAGTTCTTCAAATGGTTAAACATGGAATTACCACATGACCCAGTAATTTCACTTCTAGGTATATACGCAAGAAAAGTGAAAACCTATGTCCTCACAAAAACTTGCAAATGAATATTCATAGTAGTATGGTTTATAATAATTAAAAAATGAATCAAATTTTTATCAGCAAATGAATTGGGTAAATAAAATGTGGCATATTGTAATAATGGCCATAATTTGACAATTAAAATTAATGAAGTATTGAAACATGCTGCAAAGATGACTCTTAAAACATTATGTTCATATGCGAGGCCTACATTTGACCTCTAGCACCACCAAAAAGTCCATTGACGTGAAATGTCCAGAATAGGCAAATGAATAAATAGAGAAAGTGAATTTGTCATTGCCTAGTACTAAGGATAAGGGTTGGGGAATAGGTAGTAGCTGATAATGGGTATTGAGTTTCTTCAGGTGGTAATGAAAACATTCTAAAATTATTTGTGGTGATGCTTGCACAACTCAATTCACTAAAAGTCATTGACTTGTATACTTCAAATGATGGATTATATAATATACAGTATATATTTTAATAAAGCTTAAAAAACAAGGAAGAGTGTTCTTATGCAGCCAATATTAATATCAGGAATTTGGACTTTTAACTTTCTTGAAGCCAGACAACCAGAGCTTTTGCGATTGACATTGTGTTTGTTGCCTTGCAGTATATTATTGTCTGGCCTAGAATAAATATTGATTTTATTTAATGGCACGGGAATACACTACATTAATTCTTAGGTCTATTAGACCTATATTTGACTCTGTTGCAGTGAAGCACTGGATACAAGAAATGGAACCATTTTTCTTAGGAACCGTTTATCTTATTTTCTATTTCTCAAGACCTGTTAAGGTTCAGAGAACTCCTTTCATAATGTGAACAGGTAGCATATAGGAAATGCAAGTGAGGTAGAGAAGCAGCTTGACTGTTTACAGTTCAGCATTTGCCTTATTTGAACATGATCTGGTGGGTTGGTATCCTATGATCAACTGAAGCACAGCTACTGTGATTGGCTGAGATTCAACTTTCTGTTTTAACATTATACTAAGTTAAGCTCTCAGTTTACATAATAAGTTAGGTTGCACATCATTAAAAGTAAGGAGGCAGCCTCAGGCCAAATATTGCCTTGACAAGTAGAAGATATTCTAACAGGTACTTTACTTGGCTTTAAATGTCAAACACCATCATCACTCATCACTTGCTAGGTAGTGGCCAAATTTTTCATCTTTGGTTTCTTCCCAAAGAAGTGAGGATAAAAATGTCTACATCATAAGGTGTCATGAAAACTTGATTTTATGTATAAAGCTCTCAGCATGGCATCTACTATGTAATAAGTTTTAAATAGTTATACCATTACTGTTTATATTATATTTATAATGATTTTTTAAATCAAGTACTTTCCTTTTTTGAGTATTCAAAATATCTTATGGCTGCTTACTATTTATTCTTCACATACCCTGTTGATATGTTCTGTTGTTTTTACTTAGGTACAGCATAAGAGATATGATGCAATTCTGAAGCGTTTGCATTGTCAGGTAAACAAGCTTCAGTCAAATAGAAGACAATGGCAATGGAACATTCAACAACTGGAAAAAACTGCAGCTGAACTAAGAAAATCCATAGGAATGAAAGGTTAACATTGCCATAGGGCAATGTGGAACACAGACCATGCCAACTAAAACTATGAGACAGAATATTAAGAAGATCTTTCTTAACAATAAGCAACCACTGTCAAAGGCCTATATTAATGGCAGATATATTTTCTCTTTTAAAAATCAGTTACCTATGGGTTAAAGTATTTTTCCACCTTATATTGAACAGCACTAGATTGACAATAGTAAGCCTTACAGGAGAATAGTGAAAGAGTCTCTGTGAATATTTCAAGTGTGTAGGATATATTTTATTCAGGATACCCATTTATAACCATGCTGTATTCACTACTGTACAAAGTAAAAATTTAGAAGAAAATAAGTAGTTGAATTTTCAACAATTTAAGTTGAGATATTAAAAACAGTTGTCTGTTTCAAACTTTTTATTAGATCTTGCTTTTTTATAACTGCCTTCATAGTAGCCCATAAATATTAATACCCACAATAATGTTGTTATATGTTTAATGCCTTCAACATTTTATTGTTTTCTTTCTTATCCAGAAGGTAGCAATCATTTTCTTTGTTTTTAAATAATATATTTTATAGTGTTGCAATGCATAAATTTTTTGTTCATTTTTGTCTATAAATCATTTATTCATATCCTGTACTAAAGTTATAACATCATATCAGACAAACTCTTAGAAGTGTTAACCAGTATATTATATATATATATATATTTTTTTCCTGTCCAGGGGCAATAAATCAAATGTTAACTTGTCATTTTCAAGATAAAAATGCTCCCTTTCATGGCTTCATTGAGTCATATACTTAGAAGCCAAAACAAAATATTAATTATTGAAGATACAATTTTAAAATACCCACTTGTAAGATTAATTTCAAAGCAATAACATCAAAAAGATATTTCAAATCCATGTTCTCCTACTTTTCTATATGCCTGAGATTCAGTAAGAGTAGTAGATATAAAACCTGATATTAATAATCTCATTATGTCTGACATTAATAGTCTTAGCATAGCTTACTATAGTTAATACTTCAAATGGCTTATCCTGTAATATAATCAGCTTTGGCCCGTGGCTCAGAAACACAGCTACAAATGAAACTCGTTAAGCCTACAGATTGTGGGGAGTACCCACTATGTTCAACTGGAGACATGGTAGAACCAGATGCTGATTATAGAAATATATTTTACTAGAATGTGCATGTTAATAATTTTCAGACTTTATAGTTCTACTTGTGGTTCATAAAAAAAATTCTAGTTATCTAAGCCTTTTAAAATTTACAGTTGGGTTCAAAATACATAGTAACTGTTATAACTTGTATCTAAATGTCTCCCCAAAGCTTCATGTGTTCATAGGTGGTGCTTTTTGGAGCTGGCTGGATCTAGGGTGTTTAATACTGGGATTAAGGATGTGGTGAGAAGTTAGTCCACTCATTGGTTTAGCACAGTTCTGGTTTGTGATAATGGGAAGGCCCACTGTGGGTGTGGGTGACACCAATCAATAGGTTTATGGCCTGGATGAAATATAAAGGGAGAGAGGGAATCAAGCCTGCTTTCTGCTTGCTGCCTCCTGCCTGCCACATCATGAACCATTTATCCTCTGTGATGCCTCTCTGCTAGGTTTCCCTGCCTAGGAGCCAGCCAGCTATGGACTGAAACCTCTACAAACTGAGCTGAAGTAAACCTTTCTCCCTTTAGCTTGTAGGTATTGGGTATTTTGTCTCAGCAACAAGAAAAGTAACAAAGACAGTAACTAACACTTTGAGTTATTGCTTCAAGAAAATCCACTGAAAGAACTGGCTGCTAGAGGCAAACAGTGTCAAGAGACAGAAGAGAGAAGCAGACAGAATTGCCACAGTGCAGTTTTTGAAGGACTTACTGATAGAAGCATAGTCAAGGGTGGATCTCTAGACTTGGATCCACATTTGGGAATTTAAAGTGGATTTCATCAAAGTCATCAAGCTAACATAAAAGATGTCAGATACACTCCTGGCACTAACAGTGTCCGGATCCAGTCATAAATCACCATGACAATGCTTTTCTTTAACTAGTATTCTGGGAAATTATACAGGGAAAACAGTCCAGTGTTTTGCAGAGACAGTTATTGCAACTACAACTCAAAATGGCTGCACTGTGGTCAAGAGTATCCTTAAAGTTATATATGTGAAAGTTCATTTGCTTTATACCTTAATTGAAAAATGAACTTTCAAATATATAGGTGCTTCAGATAATGTACCATATTTGAGAATAATATTCAATGTAGATTTTTTAAATATACTTAGTAATAACATGAACATATTTTACCCTCTGACAATTACATTATTTGAAAGAGAAAACTTTCCCCTTCTAATTTTTAAAACTACTTCAGATAATGGAGACTTTTAGATTAATTAAGAATTAAACCTTTAGATAACTGCAAGCCTGATGATTTAATACCTATACTATTTCAGCATAGCTATAAAGTTAAAAAATTAAAGTAATTTTTATTTTTATATAACTGGACCTAATTTAGAATACGAGCTCTTCTGTCTAGTGTTCTGCATTAGTCTCTTTTATTATGTAACAAAAGAACTGAGACTGTGTACTTATACAGAAAAGAGATTTATTTAGCTCATAGTTTTAGAGGCTGAAAGTCTAAATAATAATGCACCAACTCTGGCATGGGCTCTTTTAGTCACCTTTTCATTGTTGGGACCAAATACTTGATATACACAATTTAATGGAAGAAAGGTTTTTGCCTCAGTTTCAGAGGATTCAGTCCACGATTGACTGGCTCCAAGGCAGGAGCATCATGGCATAAGGGTGTGGTAGAGTAAAGCTGCTCACTTCATGGCAACAGGAAGTAAATCAGGGGAACAATGCCAGAGAGGAAAGGGTCAGGGACCAGCTATAGTACCCAAGGTCATACTACTATCACCCACCCAAACATGCCAATCAAGTTGACAACAAAGCTTAACGACTACATTCTACCCCATCACCTTGACATCCAAACGCAACTTTTAAAACCATATTTAATGTCCAAATAAAGTAACAAGTTAACTCTACCTAACATAATAGAAGTATCCTGCATACAACCAAAAAACATGATAATCCCTCCTGTAAAATTTCAACATTCCTAGCATTGCTCAAAAATCTAATTCAGAGTCTCCTCTGAGACTCAAGGCAAACAGCTGTGAATGTCTGTAAAAGTGTATGTTCTATGTGGCTGGCATCTCTGTCTTCCTGGGGTCTTAAATGCACTTTCAGCTTTCTTTCTGCAGCTTTTCACATCCCTTTCTCAGGGGCACACTCCCTGTACTCCCAGGCCTGTCTTTGAAATCTGGATGCTTCCATGTCTCTCAACTCTGCTGTTCTTCATGCCTGAACAGCCAGTGTCACATGGACAAAGCCAAGGTCTGCTGCCAACTCTAGCAGTGGCTGGATCCCACTGGATTATGGTTCTGGCAACCTCTTGAGAGGATGGATGGTTAATCATGGTGAAATGAGTCCTGAGGGTGCCAATTTTTTAGGCGGCCCTTCTCAAGCAGGGAACCCAGGAGCTCTCTTCTCAAACAATAAGTTTGTACTCTTGAGCAACATTGTGTCAGCTCTTGCTAATTTCCTAAAATACCATCAAGGCATCTTCTCATCCCTGTATGAGTATTTGCTTTCTTTTTAATGATGCTAATCTCTTCAGCAACCATATTTCATTTGGCCCAAACTTTACACGTGGTTCTTTTCAGATAGAAATTTAACTTGTTCCAAATGCTTTTACTCTGTTTTTTGGTCCCAATTCTTCTTAAATATCTAGTTAAAATTAACCAGCAATGCTTCTACCATAGCCTGAATCTCAGTCTGCATTGAAATTTCCTTTATCAGAACAACTAATGCACTACCTTTAAATTCAGTCTCACATAAACTCTTAAGACATTGATAAATATAAATATTTATGCCAAAGTGTAACATGCTCAGCCTCTAGTTCAATTCCCAGTAGAGTTCTCATTTTTGTTTTTTTTTTGTTGTTGTTTGTGTATGTGTGGTTTTTTTGAGACAGAGTCTCACTATGTAGTGAGGCTAACCTGGAACTCACTGTGTAGCTCAGGCTGGTCTCGAACTCACAGCGATCCTCCTACCTCAGCCTCCCTGGTGCTGGATTACAGGTGTGCGCCACCACGCCCAGCTAGAGTTCTCATTTTTAACTGAAATCTCATGAGTCTGGCCTTTAATGTCCACATACCTATGAGCATTCTGGTCTTCTGAGCTTCAACAAAAATTACTCATAAGCATCTACATACAGCACATTAGGGCATCTCTATCTCAGATTCCCAAACTTTTCCAACCTCTTCCACAAACCAGTTTGAACAACTTCTGAACCACATGATTACATATAGTCACGGCAACAACCTCACTTCTCTAGTGCTAGTCTTGGTATTGGTTTTTTTGGCATGGGACCAAATACCCAACATATGCAACTTAGAGGAAAGAGAGTTTATTTTTCTTACAGTTTTAGAAATTTTAGTTTTGTTTTTGTTTTTGTTTGTTTGTTTGTTTGTTTTGGTACCGGGGATTGAACTCGGGTCTTTGTGCTTGCAAGGCAGGCCACCGAACCGCTGAGCTAAATCCCCGGCCCCCAGATTTTAGTTTTTAATCAGCTGGCTCCAACGCAGGAATATCATGGTAGAAAAAATGTGGTAGAGCAGAGCTGCTCATTTCATTTTGACTAGGAGGAAGAGCAGAGGGAAAGAATGAAAGTCCAGATTTAGTACCCAAGGTCACATTCCCACGATCCACACAGACGCACCCAGAAGTATGTTTTACTAATCCCCCTAGCTGGCTCCCAAACCAATAAAGTTGAAAATTAAGCTTAACCATCATGGACTGTTGCCACATCACCTCATGATAGTTGTCATTATAGCACAAACATGTGCAGGTGAGGCACATCACATGGCAAAGAATGAAGCCAAAGAGCCTATGGCAACTAATTGGGGGACCCAGTTCATAGTTATATGAACTCATGCCCAGTGGACCTCCCATTATATCCTGCCGCTTTAAGATCTCAACACCCCAATACCACTACACTTTAGACCTAGCCTCCAACACATGAACCCTTGGGGGACACACTCAAACCATAGTCAAATCATCACATGCTCTTTCTCACACATGCATCTGGTTTAAAATCCCATCTTTCAGATGAGCATTCAGCTCATAATTTTCTCATTTTTTTCTTGAAAGTAGTCTGTTTCTAGTGGAGGACTTAAATTGTTTTGTCATCAGAGGCAGGGCTCTAGTTCAGATGCCATTCTCTGACTTCATTGGACACTGAAGAAATACAATCTATTTTCCCTGGATTTATTCACGCTCTTCTGTCTGTGCTATACCTGCAGCTTTTTTCTCTAGTCAGTGAGATCAGCTTCCTTGTCCAATCACAAAGTTTCTTCTGATCCTATTTAGTTCTCTCTTTCTGTATCTGACCAACTTTTATCTCTTTAGGGCATGT